CCAAACCAGCTGATAAAAGCATGTGAAAAGCAAATTTTCAAAATATCTTCTTACATAATCATTATCAATTTAATAAAATCTTCCTTATTTACAAATTATCCAGATATCTGACAAGTGTTTTGTATGGCTCTGGATTTACTTTCAAAAGACATTTTGTTGTTATGATTGGCTCATAGACTGTAGCAAGAGCAGCTCCAAAGGGCGGATTGCAAAATGAGTAAGTCTCAAGTGGATCCATGACCTAGGTTGTTTCCTCATGCCTGTACTCATGGCAGACATCTCCATGGGGGTTATGCTGCACACTCAAAAAGTAGGGGGAGACAAATGGTAACAAGAAATCATGTGATAAATTTTGGCAGGGTGATGAAAGAGTGGTATTGAGTAGCTAGACTAATGATTCTATTAATAATTTCCTGTTATGTAACTACCCTTCTCTCTCACTCTGTCTCTTCCCTTGTCCTCTCTTTTAGGTCTCCAGAGCTCAGGACATGCCTTCTCATAGCTGCCAAGTACAGCCACACCCAGGAAGGGATGTACATTACTCTCCAGTACATACTCAAGCATGTGCCCGGCCATGTAACTGTCCACTCACTCTTTACAACACCAAGAAACACTGTTGGAGAAACAAGGAACAACTCACATCATCAAGGATTAGCTTTGGGTTAGAGGAGGGTCAGGCAGAGACACTATGCGTCAAACTACAAGGGAGGAGTGGCGAAAGGGACCTTACGGTGGGTGTCTACTACAGACCACCCAATCAAGGGGAAGAGCTAGACCAGGACTTCTCCAGTCAGCTTATGGAGGCGGTTAGGTCAAGGAATGGTATTGTCATGGGTGACCTAAACTACCCAGACATTTGCTGGGAGGAGCAGACAACCAGGTCTGACCGCTCACGTAGGTTCCTGACACCTTCACCTTATCCAGGAAGTGCACAGCCCCACTAGGGGTAACGCCTTGCTGGACCCGGTCCTGGCCATGGGGGATGACCTGATGAGGGGACTGCAGGTCCTTGACCACCTGGGCAATAGCGATCATCAGCTGCTGGATTTCATTATCTAACGCATGGCGTCTAGGGCTCACACCAAGGCTAAAGCCCTTGAATTCAGAAGGGCCAACTTCAATGAGCTTAGGAGCCTAGTGCGGGAGGCACTAAGGGCCCAGAAGGTAGAGGAGATGGGAGTCCATGAGGGATGGTCATACCTTAAGGGGGCGATCCTCCAGGCCCAAAGGATAACAGTCCCTGAGAGAAGCAAGGCAGGTAAGAGTGCTCAGAAACCCCCTTGGCTCAGCAAGAGCATACAGGAATGCTTGAGGACTAAAAGGGGGGTGTACAACCAGTGGAAGGGAGGAGCTATCACCAAGGAGGACTACTCCTCCTCAGCCCGGGAGTGTACGAGGGCTATAAGGAAGGCCAAGGCAGAGATGGAACTCAGGCTAGCATCCAGGATTAAGGATAACAAAAAGTCCTTTTTCAAGTACATTGGGAGCAAGAAGAGGGCACCAGGCAATGTAGGGCCCCTGCAAGACTCAAATGGTAATCTTGTGGCTACACCAGATGAGAAAGCTGATATTTTTAACAGTTTCTATGTCTCTGTTTATTTGAACAGGAACTGGGACATCCCTCCTACCTGTGGTAGGGACAATCTTGGGGATAGACTC